TTTTATATGTAGAAATCACTAAAGACTACAAAAAAACCCTGTTAGAATTAATAAACAATTCAGTAAAATATCAGGATATAAAATCAACATAAAAAAATTATTTGTATTCTATATACTAATAACAAGCTATCCAAAAAGGAAATTAAGAGAACAATCTCATTTACAATACCATCAAAAAAATAAAATACTTAGAAATAAACTTAACTAAAAGGATGAAAGACTTGTAAACTGAAAACCACAAAGCATTGGTAAAAGAAAATAAAAAGGACACAAATACATGGAAAGATATCCCATGATCATAGATCGCAAGACTCAATATTTTCAACATGTCCATACTACTCAATGCAATCTACAGAATCAATACAATCCATATCAAAATCCCAATGACATTTTGCACAAAAAAAATAGAATAAAAAGATTCTAAAATTCATATGAAACCACAAAAGACCCCAAAGACCCAAAGCAATCCTAAGAAAAAAGACTGCTGGAGGCACCCCACTTCCTAATTTCAAACTATATTACAAAGCTATAGTAATTAAAACAGCATGGCACTGGAACAGAGACAGGCATATACACCAATGGAACAGAATAGAGAGTCGAGCAATAAACTGATGCATATACATATGGTCAATATATCTTTAAAAAGGGTACCAAGAATATACAATAGGGAAAGGTTGGTCTCTCTTCAACAAATGTTGCTGGGAAAACTGGAAATCCACATGCAAAAGAATGAAATTAGACCCTTATATTACATCATACACAAAAATCAACTCAACTAAACTAAAGACTTAAATTAAGACCTGAAACTGTACAGCTCTTAGAAGAAAACATAGGAGAAAAGCTCCATGACATTGGACTGGGCAGTGATTTCTTGCGTATGACACCAAAAGCAAAGTCAACAAAAGCAAAAATAGACACATGGGACTATATCAAACTAAAACACTTCTGTACAACAAAGGAAGCAACTGAGAGAGTGAAAAGTCAACCTATAGAATGGAAGAAAATAATTGCAAACCATATATTTGATGAGGGTCAATTTCCAAAATAAAAATAACTTGCACAACTCAACAGCAAAAATAGCCCAATTTTAAAAATGGACAAAGGACTTAAATGGAAATGTCTCCAAAAAAGATATACAAATGGCCAAAAAGTATATGAAAAGATGCTCAAAATCATTAATCATAAGGAAATGCAAATCAAAACTACAATAAGATATCACGTCACACCTGTTAAAATGATTATTACCAAAAAGACAAGAAATAACAAGTGTTGGCAAGGATGTAGAGAAAAGGCAACACTGTGCACTGTTGGTGGGAATGTAAATTGGCTCAGCCTTTATGAAAAACAATATGGAGGTTGCTCAAAAAATTAAAAATAGAACTACTGTATGATTCAGTAATCTCATTTCTGGGATTTATCCAAAAGGACTGAAATCGGGATCTCAAGGAATTATTTGCGCACCTATGTTCATTTCAGCATTATTCACAGTAGCCAAGATGTGGAAACGACCTAAATGTCCATTATGAATGGCTTAAAAATGTGGTATGTACATACATGGAATATTCAGCCTTAAAAAAAGAGGAAAGTCCCGCCATTGTGACAACATGGATGAATCTTCAAGTCTTTATTCTAAGTGTAATAAGTCAGTGATAGAAGGACAAATACCACATTATTCCACTTACATGAGCTATATAAAATAGTCAAACTCATAGAAGCAAAAATTAAAATAGCAGTTTCCAGGGGATTTGGGAAGAGGTCATGAGAATAATTGTTTTTAATGGATATGGAGTTTCAGTTTGGGAAGATGAAAAAAGTTCTGGGAGATGATTGGTGATGTTTGCACAACAATGTGAATGTACTCAATGCCACTGAACTGTACACTTAAAAATGATTAAAATGATAAATTTTATGTTATTTGTATTGTACCACAATAAAAAGAAAAAGTACCAAGGAAGAGGGACAGACTATGAGTGAGGTTGGCAGTAAACAGAGAGAAAAATTGTTAACTGTCGAGGATAGAGTTGAAAGCATGGATGTCCTTTCTGGTTCTGGACTACAGAAGCATGTCAATTTGGTTTAAAGGTTATGGTTGATAACAAAGAAAGATGATTCTTTGCAGGGTTCCAGCCAGCTCTTCATCGCCTCAGAAGCTGAGAGAGAAAAGATGGTAGTGGAGCCTCCTTTCTATAGCGTTTATATTCTCTAACTCTGGATGTCTTTATACATGAGTGCTTCGCTGAGTGTGATTTTCTCAATGGCTACTGTGTGAAAGCATAGTAAAGCACTTACTTTACTCTAAGTCCTCATGATTCTCTCTCTGTGGAGTAGAGAGAAAAACTATACTCCCCTGACTACATCACAAGAATCTGTCATCTAGGATCTCACCCCAAAGGAAATTGCTATGTCTATGAATTTTAAGTTACTAAATCTTTGATAGCTGGGAACCTTGCCATCCAAGTCTTCTCGGTCAGTCACTAATAAAAATGTGACAATCTCCCAGGGCAATCTGGCACATAACCTTGAAGACTAGCATTTCTATTCTCAGGACGACCTTATCATTCAGAACAGTCATGTTTTCGAGAGAAATCCATTCTCTCAACTCTGGCCTATGTCTAAAACCACTCTATATTCCTATGCCAGGCTCTCCAATGCCAAAATGAGCAACAAAGCCCTGTAATGAATCTTTCCAACTTACCTTACCCAAGTCTCATCCTAAACTATAGCTGGAGACATAAGTTTAACCAAAGCTCAACTGGATTTCTAAAACTGGCCTCTAATAATGTTTGTGGGTGCCAGGTGGGAGTAAATGAAAGACCTTGGCTGATGCTTCAGCAACGACTCCAACAGGGCCAATTACTAATCCTCTGAGTACTTGTGAGGTCAATGCATTACCAAATCCTTCACTTCCAGAAAGTCTATTTAAACATTTCTCTAGAGTAAATGAAGAAAAATTACAAAGAAGGATCTTTAAGTCCGTGTACCGACAAGCTGAAGATTTGTTTGGGAGACACTGTTCCCAAGCCTAGTCGGTTAGAAGGAGGGCTTAAATCAGGAATAAAAGGAATTCTCTCCACACTGTTCATGGGCTTTTTGGAAACAAAAATTTGGCAGAATTTATTTAAGAAAACAATGTCCAATCAAGTGGATTCAATTCATTTATATATTTCGTAGTTGCATACACTAACTTTTCCTGACTTGAAGAACATTGTTTTTAATTTGGATTGGATAGAGTCCTAAGAGATCTGAAAAAAAAAATATGTTTTGAAGATATATTTACACCTTCACAGGAAACCAGGAAAGTGAGTAGAAATTAAATCCTAGAGCTATCACCATTTCTTGACTGATAATGGGAACCAAAATAACGTAAAATGTTCAAGATTGGGAAAGTTGTCTAGAGAGATAAAAAATTCAGTGTCTCACTTGGCAGCTCTTGGAGTCTATTTGTGGCTGTGGTGCATATGCCCTGAGGGGAAGAAAGCAATGACTGGGCTTAATCTGAAAACTGAGGAATCCACAATCAACTAGATCCAGGTCAGTGAGAATTAAATCTTTCTCCTGATTTTATTTAGATTAACTTAATTTAGCCAATTTATTTTCACTGAAATAGGTTTTGTAGTTATATTCTATGAATTGAAGGTTAATCTTTTTCCCTAAAAATGAATTTGCACACAATGACACAAAAATATCAATGGAAAACACTATCTGTAATGTTACCAAACAAAACGCTGTTGAGAACTATTAAAGTCACTTTTCCAACATTGTGGTTAACATTTATGTCTCACCAAGAAGATTGATTCTGTGGATTTCTGCTTGTAATGATTTGAAATTCTTTCCCCCTTTCATGACCTCCATGTTGCCACGTTGAAGTTAGAATTTGTGAATTAAATCTATTAAAAATGACTAAACTTAGTCACCATCTATTGCAGCCATGGATAGAGAAGAAGCAACTCAGAGACTGAGCTTTCCTGAAAACTAAAGCTATCTTTCCTCTCCTTTATTGAAGCTGAAAGATCACGATGCTGAATTCTGTGTTCAGAAATTTTTGAAGAAAAATATGTGCTTATGTTTCTTCGCAGGGATTGGAGAAAAAAGAAAAATAAGGGGAGAGGAACAAAATATCTTAGATCTTTTGTAACAACAACGTGTACTCACTCTTGAAAGTCTATGTACAGATCCTTCCAAAAATAGATATACATATATTCTTGTATATATTCAATATTTCCACTAGTTAGCAATGAAAACTTCAAGTTCATCTTAATTGATTAAACTTATGCCAAAAGGGAAAACTGTATTACCTTAGGTGACCCTAACATTTCAGTCTTGTCAGTAGGAAACTCAGGGAGAATTCATGACATTTAATTCCAGTTTTAAAAGGTCAGTAGAGTAATATATCTAATCCAGAGCACCTTTGTACATGTGATGAAATAAGAACTGCACAGAGAATTCATTTAAGAAACATTGGGAACATTTCAGGGAAATTCATACCGCTTACATGTCCACATTCAAAGATGTGGAAAGAGAGAGTATGAAAGAGTCATGTCAAGCCACACACAACATCTGGGGCTGTTGAGTGAATGCTGCTCAAAGAGCTGTTCTAAAGATAGTTCCTTGGCATTTTGAGGGGAAAAAAACTCCATCGGCAGCTCTGTCTCTGTCTGTCTGTGCAGGTGCATTCACTTGACAGAAAGGAATAACAGTTCAAAGAACACAGCTGGTATAAATATAGTAAGGCTTGGTACTTTCATATCTGATACACAGATGACTTTTAAAAGAACATTGTTTAGGGCCAGCCCAGTGGCGCAGCGGTTAAGTTTGCACTTTCCGCTTCTCAGCGACCCGGGGTTCGCCGGTTCAGATCCCGGGTGCAGACGTGGCACCGCTTGGCAAGCCATGCTGTGGTAGGCATCCCACATATAAAAGTAGAGGAAGATGGGCATGGATGTTATCTCAGGACCAGTCTTCCTCAGCAAAAAGAGGAGGATTGGCAGCAGTTAGCTTAGGGCTAATCCTCCTTGGGAAAAAAAAAAGAATATTGTGATCATATACTTACAGGTATTCATGCCAATAGACAAGAATAACTTGAAAATAAATGTTATTGGTGAAATTTGTCCACAAAAGTGATATATAGCCATCTGTGAGACTTTTAGATCAAGAAACTTTGGAAGTCAACCATAAGTCAACATTTGTAATAACACCTTGCTTGTATTCTGGTGTTAGTAAGGTATAGCCACTATCCAATTAATAGGAATAAGGAAAATTTAACCTCCTTCCTTTCTGCTTTACAACTATCTGCAAAATGGCAGTGAGTGGAAGGTCCAGTCACAGAGACCAGGACTCAGGAGATGATGGAATATTTTAAATGGAATTAAAAATATCATCACTTAGAAATACTATGATCTTTCCAGATGGATCATTTGCTTACAACCCAAGCTGAATCAATGGAAAACATGAACAATGTAACAGAATTCATCCTGCTGGGTCTGACCCAGAATCCAGAACTGCAGAAAGTCTTATTTGCTGTGTTTTTAATCCTCTACTTGATCACATTGTCAGGTAACCTGCTCATCTCAGTCACCATCTTCATCAGCCCAGCCCTGGGCTCACCCATGTACTTTTTTCTGTCCTGTTTGTCCATTATAGATGGTTTATACTCTTCTTCCGTAGCACCCAAAATGATCTTTGACTTGATCTCTGAGAAGAGCACCATATCCTTGAATGGCTGCATGACTCAGCTCTTTGCTGAACATTTCTTTGCTGGAACTGAGATCATCGTGTTAATTGTCATGGCCTATGACCGCTATGTAGCCATCTGTAAGCCCTTGCACTATATGACCGTCATGAAGAGACCTGTGTGTGGTTTCCTGGTGGGAATGGCTGTAGTTTTAGGGTTTCTTCATGGAGGGATCCAGATTTTGTTCATGATCCAGTTACCATTCTGTGGCCCCAATGTCATTGACCATTTTATGTGTGATATAATACCTCTTCTGGAGCTGGCCTGCACAGACACTCACACTTTGGGGCCTCTGATTGCTGCCAACAGTGGGTCTCTCTGTTTGATCATTTTTTCTATGCTGGTTATTTCCTATGTCCTCATCCTATGCTCCCTGAGGACACATAGCTCTGAAGGGCGTCACAAAGCCCTATCTACTTGTGCCTCTCATGTCACTGTTGTCATCTTATTCTTTGTACCTTGTTCATTTCTGTACCTAAGACCCGTGACCTCCTTCCCTGCTGACAAAGCTGTGACTGTGTTTTGCACCATAGGAACTCCTATGTTGAACCCTTTGATCTACACCCTCAGAAATACAGAAATGAAAAATGTCATGAAGAAACTCTGGGGGCAAATAATGAAAACTGGAGCTAAATAAATCTTGTGGTTGGAGTATCTAGGCAAAAAAAATCTAGTGATCTTTTATAGAGATTTATCCTCCTCCTTAGTTCGTTAAACTTGGGACAGTCAATTATCCTGCCTGGATCAGTTTCCTTCAGGAGCCCACATGTTGTGGACAGGGCTGACATATCCATTATGGCACAGTGGGCACAGTGCGCAGGGCCTATGATAGTTTTAGGAGCCCTTGAAATATGTCAATTTCTTTTAAAATAAGAATAAAAAATGAATGTAACCCAACTTGGAGAACAGTGGTCTTTACACCAATGCAGCCATAAAATATAATTTTTATTACCTTTATAGAGGAAAGAATCCATGAGGACAAATGTATGAAAGGCCCACAAAAGGCATAGCATTGCCCTGATTTTGGGTATGAAACAGATCAACAGCAATATTCTTGAACACTCTTTGTACCCAGCACTACAGTTAGAATGGAGTTTTATTTTAAAAGAGGAAAAACAATTAAATATGGAAAAAGTGTAGAACAGTAGGAAAAGAGGCTTCAAAAAGCACTTTTAATCAAAATATACTTCTTATCTTCCTAAGTTTAAGAGGTTTTTATATGTCCTCCCATAACAAGAATAAAAAATTTTTTACTTATTACAATCTGAAGAAGAGTGCATTTGCATGCTAAGGTGCTTTCAAAAAATTACATCTCCACCACTCTCTGTAGCATACAATTGTCTACAAAAAGAATTAGAATTAGAATTGGCTGGTGCAAAGGAAACATAATTGAGAGTTAAGGCAGAAAGTATTTGTACATTAAAGGCTTGTCTTAGACACAAAGGAAAAGAAGACTTTGGAAACAAAACACTGTTTAAAAATCGCTAGTGATGTAAGAACAAGTTTATGCCATTAAGTTGGACTTGATCACAAATCTGGATTATAGAAAAGAAACCATATCATGAACATAATGAAATTCTAAGAGCTTCGGAAATAGAAGGTTTGAAGTCAGGCATTAAGAGCTTTGGATCAAATAGTCTTGATTTTGCATCTTGTCTTCAGCTTTAATTAGCCTTGTAAATGTAAGCAAGTTGCTCCACCTCTACACCTGTTTTTGTGTTTCTTTTTCAAAGATCAGCACCTGAGCTAACAACTGTTGCCAATCTTCTTTTTTTTTCTTCTTCTTTCTCCCCAAAGAGGCCCCAGTACATAGTTGTGTATTCTAGTTGTGAGTGCCTCTGGTTGTGCTATACGGACGCTGCCTCAGTGTGGCCTGATGAGCAGTGCCATGTCTGCGCCCAGGATTCAAACCAGTGAAACCCTAGACCACTGAAGCAGAGCGTGTGAACTTAACCACTCAGCCATGGGGCCAGCCCCTCTCTACCTGTTTCTTAATCCGTAAAAGGGAAATAAAATTACATACATCCTTATGTTGTAAGAATTAAGCAATTTAAATTGAAAAAATTAGTTAGCTGAAAGATAGTGAAAATTTCTGAGATGCTGTCTAGCTGTCAGAGATGTTGTCAGGGCATAAGGTATTCTGGGGACTGCAGTTCCTAACAGAGGAGACCAAGGACACTGCTGCTGTCTTTCATTAACCATGATCACAGAAGGCCCAAACATGTGACTCAGCCTCACTTCACTTCAAAATATGTCATAAATGGCATCCACTGACAAGCAGGAACAGCATAATGGTGAGTAATTACCTCAGCAAGGAAACTTAACGGGGTCAATGAGCAGGTCCCTGGACACTAAGAGCTAGCCCATCACCAGCTATGTATTCTGGGATTAAAATGCCTTTAAATATCTCTGTAGATACAAATGGGAGAGCTGGTTGGAGCAACTGAGAGATGCCTAAGTAGAACTAATTTCAAAAGCTCTCACTAATGGTGGATTCTGTCTTGTCCAGTCCTCCAGAATAAGGAGGAAAAGGGAAAACCCGGTGCTGAGACTAAAAGACCTTCCTCTGTATAGAGTTTGTGATTCTTGAGGAAGAGCTCAGAAATCTCTTTTCAGGAGAAGATTTCTCACCCAGGGATTTTAATATCATGTGATGCTGACATTTCTCATGCTCTCAGAACTTATATAGGTTAGATCTCACTATATACAAAGACCTTTAAAAATAGATGTTTTGCCATAAATTATGTGTGACCATCTTGTAAATATATGCAAGCAATGGTAGGTTTAAAAAATCAAATTTATCTTTTAAAGATCTAGTTCTTGTTCCCAAGAAAAATGGAATGAAAAAGGACAGTGTAAAAATAAGGAGAGGAGAAGGTAGAGTAAGATAGCTAATGTTAATTGAGCACTTTTCGTGGCTAAAGTGTTGACCTAAGCACTCACTTTACATCTTTTGGACGCAATTGATTTACGACCCTAATTTCTTTCTGTCCTTGATTTATTTGAATCCCCAAACTAGCGGAACTTACTTCTGTCTAAAGCATTTCATTATTTGAACATAATGGTGACTCTACCCATAAGCTAAGGTGTAAGCATTAATAAAACAATGTTAGTAAAATTAATTATGACAGCTTTTTTTATTGAGTATTTACTATGTGCAAAGTCCTTTATACTCTTTCTGTTATTTAATTCTCAGTACAGCTCAATTAAGTGCAGTAATGTGGATGTTCTCATTTCATAAATTAGGAAACCAAGGGATAGAGTGGTCCATTGCATTGCTCAAGATCAGTTAGCTAACACTTAGCTGAGTCAAAATTCAAATCTGAGCTTGTCTGACCTAAACTCTTTGTGCTTTATGAAACCCATTTTGTATCCCCTTAAGGTAAACAGACAACAAGTTAAATTTCTTACATTTCTTTCTAATCTTTGAAATTCTCTCCTTGAAACCCTTTGGCCTTCATTGTTTGAAAGAATTTGAAGGTAGACTTGCTTTCATAGATAGGCCAGGCTGAAAATGTCTGAGTCTGCAAAAAATCAGCTGGTGACCAGTTGGTAACTTATAACTCTGTAAGTGTTTTGAGTTCCACATAACAGGAAATTTCTTTGAAATTATTGTCTTCTCCATCTGCACTGGTTTGTACATAAAGAAGTACTTTGTGGCTTATATAGTATTACTTTCCTCTGATAAATTTAAAAAAAAAACCAAATATGTTTCCTACGAATGTGTGTTCATCCTATGATTGTCCATTAAAACAAAACAAAACAAAACAAGAAAACTCAACTTGAGGGAGGGGAGTTCAAGAGAGGCGAAAAACTATTTTTTCAAGTAGCTTGCCAGTAGCCGTATAACAATGAGTTGCAGAATAAAAATCTCAAATATGTCTTCCTTTTTGATTTCACATGTGTATTTTCAACAGTGCTTAAAATTCAGAGGCTTACATTATTTCCAGCTTCTGTTCTTCTGTTTTCCTTTTCCCACTGGCAGGCAAGGGAGCTACCATTTATTAGGCTCCCATCAACCTGTCAGACACTATGCTCTTCTTACACATTTGTGTCTCATAACACACATATATGTATGTATAAGGGCATACATTAATGAATAAATGCCCACTTTGGACAAATAAACTGAGGATCAGAAAAGTTACTGTGTAAGATGCCTGTAAGCTCAACAAAAAAAGTAATTTAGCCCCTGAGAGTAACTTTTAAGATGGTTGAGGTTTAACCAAGTTTATAGAAGAAGCTGAAGGAGGAGGTGGAGGAGGAGAAAAAGATGATGACATCTAAAAGCATATCTACCAAAATGTTGATAGTGACTATCTCTAGGTAGTGTGCTTATAGGTGGGTTTACACACACACACACACACACACACATCTTTATTTTCTTATGTATTTCCCATCTTTTTCTAAATTTTAAAATAGATACATGTTTTGAGGGAAAAATATTTTACATAGTGTCCAAAAGGGAAACACTATTACCTTTGTAAACAAAATTAGTAATAATTTTTAAATTATATGGAAAACTTCTGGTGACATTTACTCATGTCTTTTTTCTAGCAGGTTGAATATTTTTAAAAATTAAGCAGCATTCATAAGTTAGTTGAACCACTATTAATCACGATTTGGAAAAGAAACAAGGGGGCACTAAGATCAGTCCTTTATGACATTTGATGTTTTAACTGCACCAGAAATAAAGGTGCATTTCAAGTTTCAACTAAAGTAAGAACGCTTTTCTAAAAAGCCTCTTGAGATAAAATTGTGGCAAGCTGGCAAAAAGATAGGCTATTTTTTAGCGAGCCTCATTATGATCTTTTTCTTAGTTGATTGGAAAATCATCTCTATTATACTTTTATTGTCTAACAGAAGAAATGAATAGATATAGAATTCAAGGTCTCAGTTATACCTAGCTATAGACTGTCAAACTACGACAAAGTGAAAGAAGACAATATTTATTTTGCCTGAGAACTCTATAACTGTTGTTTTTGTTATACGTAGAAGTTTGGACCTAAAATAATAATTATTTCTTGATGATCTCCTGAACTTAGGAGTTTTGGGAGAGTAATTTTGAATAGTCGTAGTAAAGAAATTGCTTTTCACATTAATTTTTAGTTGTTTTTTTCTTAGTGTAAAAAGTCGATATGTTGCAACATGGTGAATTACAGATTAACTGTCAATCAAAGGATAAGTTTATTATATATTATGGGAGCCTAGACTCTTAAAGGGTGAAGCCTCAAAAGGGATATGGTCAGAATTTGTAAAACCAGGAAAAGAATGGAATGAACATGCGTGTATGTTTCAGATTCCAAAGCACTAGCATTCCTGGAATTTGAAACAGAAAGAGTTAGAAAATATACAAGTAAATACCACTTTGTATCATTGGCCAAAAAATAAACCACCCTACGCTAAATGAAGCATATATTTCAAACTTAGGAGAGATAGAAAAGCAAAAGAAAACAGCCTCTGTGTGGAAGGTTAGGAAAGACTTGAAGTATGTATACAATAATATCAAGTAAAACATATTGGGTGTATATGTGCAACACGCTGGGTTAAGACCTTTACGTAGATTATCTAATTTCATTCTCACAATAACACTGTAAACACCTATTATGCTTGTCTTTGTCTTTATCTTAAAGAAAGGCAGCACGGGCTTATAGAGGTTTGGTCATTTACTCAAGGTCATGCCATGAGTAAGCATGGGAAATAAGATAAGCTCAGGCTGATCTGTCTCCAGAGCCAGGTCTTACCCTCTCTGCCACAGTGTAGCAGCCATACTGCTGATGTCATAAAGGGTGATGAGAAGCAATGAAAGCCAGGCCTAGATGCACAGACTGCTAAACATAGCTAAGCATGAAGTTATTTGTCTTAAGTTGCATTTTGTGTTACATTTCTACTACTCAATTATCAAACAGACTCAATATATCAACATGAATTGCTATTTAAACATCTGGATGATGGATCAAAAATAACTGTTTCTGAATTTTGGTTTAGGTACTTCAAAGCTAGATCACTTTGATTATAAATTAACCACACCAGGAGACACAATTTCCTCATTTCTAAAAGAGGGAGAATAATCATTCATGCCATATATAGTTCACATAGTTGTTTTATAATCAAATTATGCAATTCAAGTAAAAAGACTAAGTAAACTATAAAAGTCTTTGAAGGTGAAGGAATGGATAAGATGGAATAAGATAATATATGATAAAAAATAAACATGTTTGTTCCACTTACAGAAATAAAGTCATTTTTATTTCCTACTTTACTGCTTATAGTCCATCTGCAATTTCTTACTGTGTGAAGAGCTTTCTCATGGCGTTTTTTACCTCTTCATTTCTCAGAGTATAAATGAGTGGATTCAACATAGGTGTCTGAGTACCATAAAATACTGCCATGTTGGCTATAATTAACAAGACAGGAAACAATAAGTGTTGGAGAGGCTGTGGAGAGAAGGGAACCCTCATAAACTG